TCTTTTCGAGAGCATATTTTCGGGAACTAGACCCATTCTAATTGTCCAAGACAGGTGTGTAATTAAGGGAAAGTTCCCCAATAATGCCAGAGTAATTATATGTAGAAACCACATTTTTAGCTGCATTTTAACATGCCAAGAAAATAAAAAATTTACATCAGCGTTTTTACAAAAAACCGACCAGTGCAACCTCTAAGAAAACTTTTTTATTCAAAATAAAAAAAAACGTCTCTTTTTTTATCACAAATAACAATATTCTGATGTAGCGTTTATGAATTTCCAAAAAGAGTGTTTTTATGAACCACTCTTACATACATAGCAAATTTAATAGATCATCCTCTTACCACCATTGCATTTATGCTGTGCTTTAATTTGCGGTTAAAAAATAAATGTTCGTTCCTTGTCGGCCTTATTATTTGGATGTGCGTCCCATCCACCACTCCAATAACTCCTGGGATTCCACACATTTGGTAGAAGCTCCTGTTGGCATCAACTTTCTCTTGGTTGTTCATATGAAACACTATATGTTTCGAACACAAAACTTTTCCAATCGCGTTGCATACTTCTAAAATGCATGTTGATACGGTTTGTTGTGCCAGCCCGGCATGTCGATCTTGTCCAATGGAGTGTTGATAACCGCCCTGAGCAAGAAATTTTAAAGTGGTCGAAAGTTTCACTATTTCAGTGACTGCGGTAGATCTTTGGAAAACTTTTAGTTCACTTCTTATGCTATGCAACACGTACATAAATGCTTCTTTACCAGAGAGCTGCATGGATACACTCAAATTACATTTTAAGTCATTCGCTTTCTTTTCACATCTGCACACACTCGTACTCATTTATTTCCAAACATAACGTGCGATAGCATTGAAAAAACATTGTCAATTGAGTGAGTAATTCACACTATCAAGTGCTCGATTCTTCTAATGAAAGTATCAAAGAAAAACAATTTGTAAAGACAATTTTTGTTAATTTTATTGGTTTTCTAACTGCATATTATAATGCAAAAATACCAACTGATTAAGGGCATCATCATTTGACAAAAGGTGGCATCATTTCCAGCAGGAGTGGCTATTACTCTAGGACTGAGTTTATGCAGCAGCGGTATTTCGCATTTGTGTACCTCCCACCAATTAATTATATCGAAGTCCGTATGAAAATATACCTCAATATTTTCATATCGCCGCAGCTCTGCAGTAGCTTTATCAGTTCTGCTCACAAAGGTATGTTGTTTAAGAAGACCTGAAAACAGCGCAAAGTTGTCTGAAGGTAACAAAGGTATATCCGCAATTTGTGGTTCCGTTGTACTGTCAGAATTCTCAGTTAACGTTCTCATAATTTGTAAACATTTCTCTTTTGTGTGCCTTTGCTCAGATTCGGTAAAGTTCTTGAGCTCTTTTGCTGGCGGGTATAAAAAAGCGCAATTTTGTGCAAATCTGTTAAGTTTTCAACAGCAACTGTTTTTAAATAATAAAGCAACTTATTTTTCAAGTCTCTTAAGCTGATGCCACATAAAACTTACGTGACGTGATTCGCTTTGACAGATAAGATGAATTGTATGTATGAATGAATGCACAAAGCACGCCACATAGATAGTTGAAGCTGCAGCGCGAAGCGAAAAGATGACCAACTCCTATCTTTTTGCGCGCTTTGACAATCAACCGGTTTAATATTTATTTTGTTTCGTCCAAATTCGAGTTTTCATGTAGAAACATAAAACTTAATTACATTGCTGATATTTTTAAAGCAAATATATAAAATCCACAGCAATTTTGACGAGTAAAAAAGCAGTACAAAATTGTTTTCTTTGCGTTCATTATGGCATAACTTTTGCGTCTGACGCTTCGCTGGCAAAGTTATAAATGTCACGCAAAGCTACAAAGTTTTATCTGGCATCAGCTTTATAAAGCCGATGTCTTCTGAGGTAACAGTGCATTTCTTTTGTAGACTAGTTATATAAATGTACGTCAGGTGGATAATTAAATAATTTAGTAAAACTAATATGTTTAAAAAAAATACTTCATCAATATCCATTTTTTTTTTCAAAATTGTCGTATTCTCTACTAATTGTTTGAAGTCAATGAATATCATTCGATTGCTCGACTTGCTTTTCATAACAGCGTTTTTCACTCGCTTGACTTGATTTGGAAAGAGTATATCAATGCAATATTTGAAATCAAATGAGTACACTGCAGCTGAACATTGATTTCAAAACTAACTATGAAACTCACTGTTTGTACGGTGTTTCTCACTACCCTTATACAGTTCACAGCACTGAGTTCATACTATTTAGATGGAAATGAGTAAACTCATGCTGTTGTCTGTTCTTTACTGAGCCGAAAATTTTGAACAAAACTAAGGATACAAAATGAAAATTTGTATGCAGAGTAATTTGCAAACGCTAACATTTGAACTTACCTTTTATCGCTGAGGGTCATCAGGGAACGGATTTTTAGGACCTAAAAACCTATAAAAAAGGCAAAATAAAATAACGAAATAGGCTGGAAAAGGCAAAATAAAATAGCGAAAAAGGCAGGAAAAGGCACTAGGTATTGCAAAAAAGGCAAAAAAAGGCAAAACAAATAGCGAAAAAGGCAGGAAAAGGCACTAGGTATTGCAAAATAATGCACTAAAAAGACAGAAAATACGAAGAACAATCAAAAAATACATTTATTTTAGAAATGTTTATATTACAAGTAAAAAGAGAAAAGCTATGAACTAGTTTCATTATATGAAAAATTTGTACTTTGAATCTTTGACTATTTTATCCTTTCGGGTTTCTAACTCATAAAACTTTAATCTGTATAGTTGTAGTAACATTGAACCACAAGATGCATTTTGAAGTTCTCTGGCAGCATTTTCATTCGATTTTCGCGAAGAAAAGCCTTGAATATACTAAATGTGTGCTCGACGTAAACTGATACAAGTGGAGCCCAATTTAAATAAGGAACGTCTGAAACGTTCATATTATCAAAAATAAGTGCGTTTTCCTCGCCCTTTATAATTTTATCCACACCCCTTATTGTCTCCAAGCCTTCGTTAGCTGAGAAAACAGCTTTGAATTTTTCCAACGCCAATTTGGCAAGAGGTCTCTGCGCTTCTATAAGCCGCATGGGCAATGTGTACATTTTTTAATCTTAAAAAAAATTTTAAATGCTATAATCACTTTTTTGAAGGTAGAAAAGGCAAAAAAGGCAAATATCTTAAAAAAGGCAAATATCTTAAAAAAGGCAAAAAAAAGGCATCATCAAATGTGTATATATGGAATCAGGGAAAGCTAAATCGTGGACATTCTTAATCGAATATACTCTATCTCTTTAGCAGAAAAAAAGGCAATTTCCATAAAATCCGTTCCCTGGTCGTTATGGGAGTGCGAACTTCCCATCGCATCGCATTTGATTTTCGAATCGCATTGCTTTGCGTACCGAATTACAGAGTAAGGGCCTAGGTCTAAAGCCACACTGATAAGCCCCCATCAGTTCATTGACGATGGGCTTCAGTCTTTCACACAATACGCTCGATAAGACCTTGTAACCTATGCTTAGAAGGCTGATCCCGCGGTAGTTGGCGCGAATGGCGGGGTCACCTTTCTTGTGGATTGGGCAGAGCACACTTAAATTCCAGTCGTCGGGCATGCGTTCATCTGACCATATCCTGCACAAGAGTTGATGCATGCACCTTATCAACTCCTCGCCGCCGTACTTGAATAGCTCAGCTGGTAGGCTATCAGCTCCAGCAGCTTTGTTGGTTCTCAGCAGCGTTATTGCTAGGTATGTCGTCATAGTCAGGCGGTGGAACGTCGACTCCGTCATCATCGACTGCGGGCTCGGGTTCTTCTTCTCCACAACTTTCCGTGCTGCTACCATTCAGTAGGGCTGAGAAGTGTTCCCTCCATAATTTAAGTACGCTCTGAACATCGGTTACTAGGTCGCCACTGTTGTTCTTACAGGAGTACGCCCTGGTCTTAAAACCTTCCGTAAGTCGCTTAACTCTTTTGTAAAATTTTCGGGCATTCTTCCTGTCGGCCAGCATTTCAAGCTCTTCACACTCACGTATTTCGGCCTCTCTCTTCTTATTGCGGCAAATACGTCTCGCTTCCCTCTTCAGATCCCTATAGCGGTCCCACATAGCGCGCGTTGCGAACGATCGCAGCGTGGCCCTATAGGCGGCATCTCTTTTCTCTGCAGCTTCCTGACACTCCTCATCGTACCGGTTGTTCTTTCGGGCTCGCTGAAATCCGACTACTTCCTCGACGGCGGAACTTAATGAGCGAGAAATGTGGTTCCACTGCTCGCATATGTCGGGTTGTTGAAGAGTGCTCTCTGAGAGCAGGTGTGAGAGTCGAGTAGCGAAAGCACTGGCTGTATGTTGTGATTGCAGCTTTTCGACGTTAAGCTTTCCTTGCTTATCTGGGCGCACATTTTTTGCTGCAGAGGCGGGTGCGTATCTTGGCTGCAACAAGATAGTCGTCCGAGTCGATGTTTGGGCCTCGGAGTGTGCATACGTATAAAACACTGGAAGCGTGCCTTCCGTCTATCACAACATGATCGATTTGGTTTCTCGTTTTTCGATCCGGAGACAGCCACGTAGCTTGATGGATCTTTTTATGCTTGAACCTAGTACTGCATCCTACCATGTTTCGGACCCCGGCGAAGTCGATCAGCCTCAATCCGTTGTCGGACGTTTCGTCGTGGAGGCTGAATTTTGCCCACCCTGGCATTGAAGTCGCCAAACACGATTTTGATATCATGAAGGGGGCAGCGCTCGTACGTGCTCTCCAAGCTCTCATAGAAGAAATCCTTGGATGCCTCATCCTTCTCTTCTGTCGGGGCATGGGCGCAGATGAGCGAGATGTTGAAGAATCTCGCTTTGATGCGGATTGTGGCTAGACGCTCGTCCACCGGGGTGAACGCCAGTACTCGGCGACGGAGTCTCTCTCCCACCACAAATCTAACACCGAATTTGCGCTCCTTTACATGGCAGCTGTAGTAGACGTCGCAAGGCCCCAGACATTGCTTGCCTTGCCCCGTCCAACGCATTTCTTGGATGGCGGCGATGTCAGCTTTTTTCCTTACGAGGACATCAACCAGCCGGGCAGAGGCACCTTCCCCAATAAGGGTCCGGACATTCCAGGTGCATGCCCTCAAATCGTAGTCCATTAAACGTTTGCCGTGGTCATCATAACGGGGGTCTCATCCGAGGCTCCACTCGGATTGGTTACCGCATCTTGCACATGGGTTGCTCAGGTTGTCCAGAGTGCGCGAACGAGGACGCAAGAGTCGGGATTGAGTATAGCCATGCAACTGTAACTGCATACCCAGCGCAACGACTATACCCCATTGTTCTCCTGCTGCTGCTACCTGTTAAAATCCATCAAGGTGTTTGGTATTAATAAAGAGAATATCATTCTACGATGTATTCTAACATTTATGACAGTCGATTTTAATGAGTTAAATCGGTAATAACTGGATAGTCTAATTATATCATTATTAACCATTAATGTGCTTTTGGACATGTATAAAACGAAACACATATGTATAACGCTTATTCCTTACTAATTTCATAGAGTACATATAACAATATTAATGTTTGAAGAACTCTATTTGTTCTTGAAACTTGTCAATGATTTTCGAGGTGCTGATTGCCGTTGACGAGCTAAAAATGTTTGCCCTTGTCCCATCAACAGCGCAAGCTTAGCATCAATTGCATCACGTTGCGCATTCACACCCAACCTGGAATATACATATATTTAAAAATATATCGTTACCTTAATATAGAAATTCCTTATCTCACATCGTCTCTGAAATCAAAAACGCAGAAACTAACTAAAATTCCTAAAATTTACTCTTTGATTGATTATGATGCATTTCATCGAATTATTAGTCCCCACATCGTTTTATGCAAACAAAATTTTAGTCAGTTGCCTCTTTATTGCATTTCAGCGACGATGTGAGAAATATATTATTTATATATACATTATGTATATTTAACTACCTATAGAAAGCTGTTGTCATTAATTGCTCCTCCACCGTACTCATTCTCGGCTGTGGCTCCTCTTCAGAGTCTTGAGGCCGTTCAAGCATATTTACCTCAATAACTGCATAAATTTATTTAATAATTATAATTGAATGACTTTCGTAGTTCTACTATACCATTAGCCAGACGCGGGTCTAGATTTTTTATTACTTCTTTAGCTTTTTCAACACATTTCCTATACTTGGCATCATAAGCTAGTAAATCTTGTTCGCGGGTGGCGAGAGTATTCTCTAACTGCGTTATCTTGCTTTGTAATGACACACTCTGCGATACCGATTCTTCCAGCTGCAAGGCTGCAATGAAAGTTATTGTGTTCACTAACTTGGTAAATTACTAAAGTTACTTTTAGGTTTTACTTTTCTGCTCGTTCAACTCCATCAGTTGTTTAATTTGTTTACCAAACTCGAACCTAAAATTTATTTTTGGAAACATATTTTAGTTTTTTTTTTTGTTTTGAAAAAAGGCGGTAAAAACTGACCCCCCAATTATGAATTTTCATGCGATCAGACGATAAACGCTTGCAAGCGTATCGTGTGAAGTCAGTTCTCGAATTATCGTTTTCATACGCCCGACAGATGTAATAGAAAATAACAGAACGCTCCATCTGTCAAGTATTATATGGGACAGTCCTCTTTTTTGACCAATTGTCCTGGTAATTAATTTATTTTATACGGGACGCTAAATGTTCTGTATTTCTTTTAATGTCCTGTATTTGTCCCGTATTTGGTGTTCGTTAATTCGACGCCTTAACAGGCTCATTAAAATGGCATGCCTGTGCACCACTTTTAAATGATGTTGGTATATGATCGTAATTTTCTCCATAAACAGTTATTATTTTCTAATCAGGATGCCTGTGATTCGAAGTGAGGAACACATACAGTGACCAAAATATAAATTAGGACTCTACATTTTAGAAAGGTTACCCCTTTTTTGTTTATTAATTGTTTATTATGTTTTTTTTTGTTAAATAAAGCTCATTTCCTAACAAAAACCAAATAAATCCAAGTATCCGACTTTGTGCAAAAACTATGAAAATTAATTCTGCAGTGTTTCACCAAAAATTTCACACTTTTTAATCAGCAATTTTAGAAAAAAATTTGGTTGAAGTTTTCTAGCTCATTAAAATGAGAATAATAAAGTGCAAGTGCAACGTGCTGCTCATTTGCTTCCCTATCAAAAAATATTCGAACATTCAAACTTTGTATGAAAAAAATGCGTAGCACCGTCAACCAAAAATAAATAAAAAATTGCCAAAAATTAACGGTAAGTCCTAGCTGCTTAAAACTTGTACATTATACTAAAATTTTACGAATTTTTTAGTAACAATTTTTGTGGGTTAAAAATCTGGAGAAAAGTCACCTACAAATATGTGAGATGCTACTACAAGGATGCCGTTTCAAGGCTAATACATCTAGGGTCATTTAAAATGGATTTAAGATCTTTTGGCTTTGGAAAAATTCGCAAAATTATTTTTGTCACGTATTCGGCTCCCATAAATATGGTCACCGTATGTATCGTACGAATTCATAATAGGGGGTGAGATTGAGTTAGTTCTAAATAATGAAAAATAATAAAAAAAGTTGTTAAGAAAAAAAAAGTAGTTGCTTGCCTTACACAAAAAAGCAATTCATACTAGTGGTTTCGTTCCAATTTACCAAAAATAAGAATTATGTACATACTCTTTAAGATTTGGATCACCGCTCTGTGATGCTTGGGACAAAGAAAGAATTCGTTCATTTGCCGATTTCAATTGCTCACGTAGATTTTCATTGCGTTTATTTGCGTCATCCAGTAGTTGCTGCTTAGAAGTAAGGGATTAGATATTAATTTTAAATAAAAATTGCAGTACTACCGTTAATGCTGTTTGTCCTCCTTGTCCCTCACGTAAAGCTTTATTTTCTAATTCTAATCGGTGCAATTTTTTCTAGGAGTGCAGTCGGCTGAAGCTCCTTAGACATTGTGTTTCCATTCAAGCCTTTTACCAGATAATATTTGTTATATAGAAAAGTAATGCACTAAGTAACGAAAATTAACTAAGTTTGTATATAACTTACTACCAGAACCAGTTGATAGCTGCCCACATTTCAGTTCGTCTAAAGCTTCACGAAGATTATCACGCTCTTTAAGCAAACTTTCTTTAGCACGCTGCAATGCACTAATATTGCTTTCAAAATTTTTATTATCAAACTCAAGTTTGACATTTTTACTCATTTCTCCATCGAGTTGTGCATGCAAATCTTGAATCTAAATAAATACAAACATTACATTAGGGTGACACGCCAAAGCAAGTTGCGTGACTTTCACTGGAAATATGACATGTATTATATATTAACACTTCCTCAAATTATTTCAGAAAAATATTTAAATTTACTTCTGCTGGACCGATTCGAAAACACCTCCAAAAATTTCATTATTTTGATTCCGTTGTGAAATGTTTAAATATTTTTATGCAGGCCTTTTAGCCCAGATAACTCCGCTATCATCACCTAACGGCTAATTTTTTGATGGAATAACTTATTTCTTACCATTTACAGTGGTGGAAAAGTAAATAGCAGTGGTGGAAAAGTAAATTTGCTTTTGTTTATTTAATATTTACATATAATTTTTTTTTTTTAAAGTATAGCTTATTATCTAACTAAAACCATATAAATTTATATTTCAAAATTTGTGCAAAAATTATTTAAATTTCTGCAAACTTGATCAGATTTTTTAGATTTTTTTTGAGTATGCAGTTTTATAGCCCATTAAATTTTAGTAGAATAAAGTGCAAGTTTGAATTTTCTAAGAAATCGCTTTGATTTTTGATAACCTTTTCTTCAGAATGCATTACGCAATTTTTTCCATATAAAAAAATGTTTGAAAATACTTTGTATGGATGAAAATGCGTTAAAAAATTGCCAAAAATCCACGCGATTTTTTAGCAACTTAAAACTTACATTTCCTTCTACTAAAATATAATGGACTATAAAACTGCATACTCGAACTATTCTGAAAAAGCTGATTAAAAAGTTGAAAATTTGGATGCAATTTTGAAGAATTTTTATAATTTTTGCACGACGTTTGAAATATGAATTTATATGGTTTTTGTTAGATGAGCTATAATTTTATATAAAATAATAATTATTAAACAAACGAAAGAAAAATAGGCAAAATTTAAAAAAATATCGTGTCCCTATTTATTTTTCACCACTGTAAGTAATATATGTACGTTCTAAATATTATACGAACCGGGCAATAAATACGGATTCTCCAAATATCTCGACTCCTGCGCTTTCTATCGAAGACAATTTTATGTGGTTACTTCTTTTCATGTAATATACATACCGCTCGTATCTTTTTTCGGACAAAAAACTGTATATTACTGCGAAAAATGCGGTTTAGCAGTTTCTCCATTTAAAAATAAAAGCAATTTTTACAGTATAGTATTTTTTGAAACAGTTCTCCTGGTATTATGTACCGTTGACAAAATGATACGAAAATCAGAAAAATTCAAAAAAGTTGCACAAGTTTGTATGGAAGAAAATAATAACACCGTTGGCAAAAAAAATCAACGCGAATTCTTACCCACTAAACTTGCACCTTATTATTATTGTTACGATTATCCTTGAATCCTCGTCCGGATTTCCCAAATCCTCCGGTTCGTATCGCTGGATTGTTAAATAAAGGCTAACGATGACCAAATGGTAGTACAATTAACTTTATTGTACAACAAACAATTTTACAATACTTGCTAATACAGTAAAAACACTACAATACTTGTTAAAGCAATTACAACGCTTTACTGAACTTGTTACACACAATTAAACTTATAGCTTGCTTATTCGTAACTCGCTTCTCTGCTCTCTTTACTTGTAGCTTGCTGACTTGTAACTAACTCACCTCGCTGTCGCGGCGCCCTTATATACCTTCGCTGGCACCTATGGCAACTCTAGAACATTCTGAAGTTTATCGCTCATTCTCTTTCTCTCGCTGTTCGCAGTGTTCATCCAACTTGACGTTTCTCTTTGTGGAAAATTCTACGTCATTCCTCGAACATTCTGCCTATTTCTCGTTGTTCGCTTCGCGTTGCCGTAGTATTCGTCACACTGCCCTCCACCTAAGTCTGATCGTCCCGATCAGACACACTTGCTGTTCCAAACGCTGCAAGCCTTTCCAAGTGGACCACCTTCATCTTGTTTCTTGGTCAACGGTCTGGATTCGATACACTACGTCATTCAGCCGTTTGACGACCTTATACGGACCATCCCAGTTGCATTGTAGTTTTGGGGACAAACCTTTCTTCCGTTGTGGATTGTACAGCAACACTAAGTCTCCCTCTTGGAAACCCTCGGAGTTCATTGCCTTATCATACCTGGCCTTCATCTTGTCACTCATAATTTGAGTTCGCTGTCTCACAAGAGCATGTATTTCTCTCAACTCGTCTTCCAGGATGTTGGACGTCTCTTTCCCAATTCTCCTTGCATCGCCAGTTACTCCAAACTTCAGGTCACTAGGCAACCGGAGCTCACAGCCGAAGATTACCCTTGCATAGTTTTACCCGTTGTTTCATGCACTGCTGACCGGTATCCCATCAGAAACAGGGGTATGCGGACATCCCAATCTTTCTGATTCTTGTCCACGACCTTTCGCAAATGCTCTTCCAGGGTTCGGTTGAACCGCTCCACCATGCCATTTGATTGGGGATGAAGAGCCGTTGTTCGAGTTTTCTGGATACCCAGTATCTGGCACATTTCTTGGAATACCGCTGATTCAAAATTTCTTCCCTGGTCAGAATGCAGCTCTATAGGTACACCGTATCTCGCAACCCAATTGTAGGTGAATACCTCCGCTACTGTTTTAGCTTCCTGGTTTGGAATCGGGTATACCTCCGGCCATTTGCTAAAGTAGTCCATAATCACAAGGACGTATTTGTTTCCCTGTGCGCTCAAAGGAAATGGACCGGCTACATCCATGGCAATCCGCTCGAATGGTGCTCCTGAGTTATACTGCTTCATCTGGCCATGACTTCTGGATTTCAGCCCTTTAGCTGCAATACACTTCGCGCAGTTAGCAATCCACTCTGCGACCGATTGCCGACAACCAACCCAATAGAACCTCTGCTTGATCTTCTCCAGTGTTTTCGTGATTCCCAGGTGCCCTCCACTAGGATCATTGTGGAATTCCTTGAGTACATCCGGAATTCTTACCCTTGGAACTACTATCAAGCTGCGGGAGCACTGGCCATCTTCGCATTCCCATACCCTGTGCAAACAGCCAGATATTAATTTTAAGCTGTTCCATTGTGCCTAGTACGCCTTTGCGATGGGGCTTTCCGCTGCCATTTGCTCCTTAGTTGGCCTTCTGTCCACCTCCAGTCAATGCATCAAAAGCTCCAGATCTGGATCTTCCTGCTGACACTTTCGTAGCTGTTCTTCCTTCCACTCTTCCGCTGGTGTTTTTGTCGTTAGACGGACGTCTATAATGTCCTCTTTTCCCTCAGCTTTTGAGCAGTGTTTACATTCCAGGCTACATGGTCGGCGGGACATGGCATCAGCATTACCGTGGACACTTCCCTTGCGGTGCTCAATAGCGAAGTCATAACTTTGCAGTCTCTCAATCCACCGAGCTAGCTGTCCTTCTGGATTCTTAAACTGTAGTAGCCACTTCAGCGCTGCATGGTCCGTTCGAACTCGGAAACGTTGCCCATAGAGGTACTTGTGGAAATGTTTGACGCACTCCACCAACGCTAGTAGTTCTCTCCGAGTTACGCAGTAGTTCCTTTCTGGTTTTCCAATCGACCGGCTATAGTAGGCAACCACCTTCTCCTGACCATCAATTACCTGCGACAGTACGCCTCCTATGGCATAACCACTAGCATCCGTATCCAAAATAAACATGTTTTCCAATGCAGTCTTTGAGCACATGGTCCATAAGTCGTTCAAAAGTGGCAGGAGCGTTGCATAATCCAAAGGGCATCACCGTGAATTGCCACAGACCGTCTCCAACGCTGAAAGCTGTCTTCTCCTTATTCTCGTCACTTACCTCCATTTGCCAATAGCCGCTCTTAAGGTCGAGTGTTGGGAACCACTTTGTTCCAGTCAACGAGTCCAGAGTGTCATCGATCCTGGGAAGAGGATAGCTGTCATTTTTCGTCACATCGTTTAGTTTCCGGTAGTCTACGCAGAACCGCATTTGACCATCCTTCTTCTTCACAAGTACTACCGGCGAGCTCCATGGACTCGCTGATGGTTCAATCACACCACTCTCGCTCATTTCTTTTATTATTTGGCTAACAGTTTCACGTTTGGCAAGTGGAACACTCCGAGGAGCTTGACGGATTGGCCTTGCATCGCCAGTATCAATGCGATGTTTCACGACGTTAGTCCTGCCTGGTTTGTCGCCATCCTTGTCGAATATGTTGGAGTATCTTCGAAGAAGTTCCTTAGCCTTGTGCTGGTATTTTTCTTCCAACCCTTCCGTCCATGCATTAATGTCTTCCGCAATGTCATTCTCGCCAATGGACTCGCTTTCAGGTAATTTTTCGCAGTTGAAGATTGCCTCTACCTCTCGACATTGCCCCAGTACAGTTGCTCTTCGGAGTTTGACTGGTGATTTGAACTCATTGAGCACTCGAACTGGGATGCGTCCATCCTTTTGCATCTTAGCCAGGGTTTTACCAATAAGTACGTCCGGTGTAGAATTTTGTGTTGCTTCAACAACCCACAATTTGTTTGTCCCACAATCTCCATCAATCTTTGCCCACACAACTGCTTCTGACTTCGGTGGAATCTGCTCGTTTTCCTCTAGGATCACTCGCTTGCTGCTGTACGGACCATCATACCCAAACCTAAGGGGCACTTCCATGTTGTCGTACTTCATGATCCTGTTCTTCATGTCGATCTTCATACCTTGACCAAATAAAAAGTGTAATCCAATGATGACTTCATCCATAATCGCCGCGACTATGAACTTGTGTAACACCGTCACATTCCCTATTGCGACTTTGCATGTTACCTCCCCTACAACTTGGGTATCCTCACCAGTTGCTGTCCTCAACCTTGCTCCAGGTAATGACCTTACCTCTTTAGTGACCAAATCAGATCGAATGATGGAATGTGATGCGCCCGTATCCACAGTTAGTACTCGCTCATGTCCGTCCACATATCCACCAACAGTAACGTTGCTCGCTTTTCTGCCAATTCTCGAGACGGAGATTATGGGGCATTCAATTGCGGGACCCAGCGTGCGCCCCTTGCTGCTGGCTC